TAAGTACTGAGTAATGTTAATTAACAACATGTACTTACTATATGGGCAGGGTTAGGATTAGGTTTTGGCTTAGGGTTACTTGCATGTAATTATGCATAATTTATTGTTATTATAATATGAGGTACATGTAGCGTGTAACAAGGATGCTGTAAAATAAAGTGTTACCATATTAAATTTCAGCTTGCAGCATTCGTGCTACAGAAATAATAAATAGCAATAGTAATGTATGCAGAATACCTGAATGACCACCTAGAAACAACCACCTGTAACACCACCCAATACACACTAGCAATATGCTAAAACCCACTCAGAACACTTTTGCTTATTGCAACCACCCTAAATGTTTTTTGCTAAATTAGTAGTGGCAGCAGCAGGAGGTTTTTAAAGAAAATACTATTTCAGTTTTTCTACTTCAAAATGTCGTGTTTAATTCAATATGTTACTTGCTGTTTCTTTGTGATCATCTGTGAATTTCCTAGCAATTTTTAAGTAAAAATTGTTTCAAAGTAAACCCTACATTCGTTTTTTTTTCAGTGTACTTTAGCAACCACAACGATGCATTAAAAACACTAAGAACATTGTACCAACTACCTAGCAATACTGTAACAACATCCCAGTACATCCTAGCAACAGCACAACAACACCCTGGCAACCATCTACAACACTCTAGCAACATGACAGAGACTTGTGCTCGGTCAAACGTTCCTCAATAATCTAATTTGTTTCGTCATTGTCCCTTCACACTTGTGTTGCACTCTTCCTCTATTACCCTTTGTCTTTACATTTTCTTTTTTCCTCATTAAAGCTCACTTCGATTCAGCCACACACACACACACTCACACACACATCTGACCTATGAGTCATTGCTGGCAGCACTGCAAAACACTCTTCTATCCTTCCGTCCTCTCTTTCTCTCTCTCTCCGTCAGACTGATGTTCTCTCTTGTGTGGGCTCCTCCCAGTGTCCTGAGATTACCTGTCCATCACAGGGTCTTCAGAGGTCAGGAGTGCATCACCAGCGTCTGCTTTAAACCGACGTGTCTGCGTTAAACAGATATTTTAGGCACAGCTCAGTTTAACAGCTCTTCTTCTATTTACCCTTTTGTTGAGCGGTTTCCTTTCCATTTCTGATCCCCAAAGGCTTCCCTGAAGCCACACATGGTCTTCTTACATCTGCTTATCTCTCTCAGAGTCTCGCTTCCTTTCTCTTTTCTTGTCTGCTGAGGTGCGATAAAGAAAAGTGATCTTGTTATGAGAGGCAACAAAGAGAACCTATCTGAAAGATCTCCAACGCATGATGCCTTAATAATGTTTTCCTCCAGGTTGTACACTTGATGCCATTAACTTGCAAGTGGCTCAAAGCAAAGACGACTTTCAATTCACCCTTTCCTTCAAAATCTAATTGTATAAATGAAAAAAGGAATAGTTCACACACAAATAAAAAACATTTACTCACTCTCATGTCATTCCAAATTTGTATGAGTTTCTTTCTTCTGTGGAAAACAAAAGCAGATATTTTGCACAAGTGTCCTAGCTGCTCTTTTCCATAACAAAAGAGGATGTTAAACTGCAAAATGGACAAAAAATGGCACTTATAATGTGCTATTTCAAGCCTGCTTTGGTATCAGAACATAAAATTGAACACTACTGCAGCTCTCAAATATAATTTACATGAATCTACATTCAACTATGGCAAGTTAAGATACATTGCATCAGATTTGACATCAATATAAATGAACTGATCACTGGACAGTCGGCGTGATTTTGCCAAGTAAGACATGTTCCTGGATCAACATATCTGTCCAAAAATATAGACTTAACCCAATCCCTACCCCTAAACCGAACCCTACCCATAATTTATTCCTAAAATCAAAGGGAAATGATAGCTGATTAACAAGGGAGTAGAAGCACCTAACCCTGATTGTAAGCCTAAAACTGACATTTCCTGAAAAGTTATCTCTCAATTCTGATTGGTTGATTGGAATGTTGATCCAGGAACATGTTGTACTTGGTGAAATCACAATCACCTCACAGGACATGCAAAAAGCAATAATGTTAGATTGACATTTCTATTCTTTTGCATTTTGTGTGAACTATTTGTCCAGCAATAAACAGAAACAGACAACACTAACAACAACTACAGGAGAAGTACAGCCAAATTAAAGGGACTGCATTTTGACACATCTGATTTTTATCCCTTAAAATGCATTAAATGTACTTTTTATTTTCTGTCGTGATGTGGCATTTTCCTGATTAAACCTCCTTATTCTCAAACAGGAAACTACTTTGCTTTTAATGACCGCGTAGGAGGCATCATGGGATATGGAGTCCATTTCAACAATGAAACTGATGGAAATGCTGATCAATAATTGAGATGAAGGGGAAGGAGAGAGAACGAGAGACACACACAGGACTCGTTGGCTCAGATCTGTGCGATGATCTGCTGTTGTGTGTGTGTGTTGTGGAGGAGAAGTAATTAAATTGTAATGCGTGTTGATTTGTTTAGAGTCCCTCAACAGGCTGTTGCACTTTCCTCAAGATACTGAAACCAACAACCTTCACCCACACACAAGACGGCAGAGGGGGAGCAGAAGAGAGAAACAGGAGGAAGTAACAAGAACACAAAATGAACTGTCTAGAGTATTAGATGATTGCTGACACACAATTACGTCTATTGAGTTGACATACCTCTCGTTTCATAAGTTTATATTACTTGCAGAATAAGATTTTATTAAAATAAATAAGAGATACAATCTTGCAAATAAAAACTAATAATGCCTATAAAATGTCCAAAAGAAGCTGCATAATATTGTCAACCAGACATTATTACAAAATAAACAACAATCAGGTGTTTATTTTGCTATGATGACAGTCTGACTGTACACTATCCCGTTTAATAAATGTTTATTCACTGAATAACAAATGTGGATGTGAAATTTTGAGTCAAAATTATTGTATAATTTGACCTGTATTTTACCATAAATATTCCACTAAGAAAAACTATTACACTGTATAAAATAATCGGTGTAGCAACAATATGAACAATACGGCAATTTTACAGTAATATACTTACGGTCTCTGAGGAAGCCAAAACAAAGTCCCTTTCAAGGAAAGTCTGTTCACTCGGCGGCCATATTTGCTATGCCTCCGAGCAGCTCCTAAGTCCTATCTAAATCAGAATCAGAAAGAGCTTTATTGCCAAGTATGTTTGCACATAATTTGTAATAGTGTCACAAGCTTCCAGTACACGGAGACAACAACAACACCCAGATAATAAAAATAAGATGTGAATAAAATACACATGCATAAATATAAACCACAAAAAAAATAATAAATTGTATGTAAAGGTGTGCTATATATAGCGTAGGTATATAATAAAATAAAGTTGTAGGGATGTACTAGGATTTAGGGTGATAAATAAGTATAAGCACATGCATAAATATAAACCACAAAAAAATAATAAATTGTATGTAAAGGTGTGCTATATATAGCGTAGGTATATAATAAAATAAAGTTGTAGGGATGTACTAGGATTTAGGGTGATAAATAAGTATAAGGTTATTGCACGTACTTTAATTGCACAATGGGAGAACATTAAGTGTTCATGAGGTAGATTGCCTGGGGAAAGAAACTGTTCTTGTGCCTGGCTGTCCTGGTATTCGGTGCTCTGTAACGCCGACCAGATGGCAAAAGTTCAAAAAGGAGATGGCTTGGATGTGATGGATCCAGAGTGAATTTTTGAGCCCTTTTCCTCATGAATGCAGGATTCCTGAAATCTCAAAAACTGCTCAATGAACTTGCAATTAAATTACATATTTCAAATCGGCAACAAAATCTGAAATGAACTTCACCATGCAAACAGCGCAACTCTGACAGAAATTCAAAAACGTCAAGGCTGTAATGTGGTTATTGGTTATCAAGGCACATGTGATCCAAGTTGACCGTTATGCTTTCTCCAATGGTAGAACCTCGGCGTTCATCGGCTATAGGCTATTTATGACCAACCGTAGTCCATACCAGGTTAGAGAAAACATTTTTACATATCATACATTAGCACAGACATTTATTTCACAATCCATCTCCGTATATAGCTCATAATGGCTTCCCAGGAGATGGATACTAATGTCAATATAATTCGGCAGCCATATCACCCTGTAGCCCAAGCCTTGTTGCCCACTGAAGCTAAGCAGGGCTGAGCTTGGTCAGTACCTGGATGGGATACCTCCTGGGAAAACTAGGTTGTTGCTGGAAGAAGTGTTAGTGAGGCCAGCAGGGGATGCTCACCCTGTGGTCTGTGTGGGTCCTAACGCCCCAGTGTAGTGACGGGGACACTATACTGTCAACAAGCACTGTCCTTCGGATGAGACGTTAAACCGAGGTTCTGACTCTCTGTGGTCATTCAAAATCCCAGGATGTCTTTCGAAAAGAGTAGAGGTGTGACCTCGGCATCCTGGCCAAATTTGCCCATTGGCCTCTGACCATCATGGCCTCCTAACAATCCCCATATCTACTGATTGGCTTCATCACTCTGTCTCCTTTCCACCAGTAAGCTGGTGTGTGGTGAGCGTGCTGGCGCACTATGGCTGCCGTCTCATCATCCAGGTGGATCTTGCACACTGGTGGTGGATGAGGATATACCCCCGACAATGTAAAGCGCTTTGAGTGCCTAGAAAAGCGCTATATAAATATAAATGTAATGAATTAATAATATAAATAAATGTCCGCGAAACAAACGACTACAGCTTTGCTACGACTGACCAATCAGAATTGAGTATTTCAGAACAAATACACACACACAAACTTAATTTATACAGGTTATCCTATTTAAATGCTTGCATACACCCAGTTTTTAAAACAACTTAGAGTATGAACAGGATAATTTGTGACAATGTAAGTATCAGTGTAAATGCATAATCAGGGTAGTACTAAGTAAAAAAGTAAAATATAGTTTACATTTTTGCATAAAATTATGAGTACAACTGTGAATACCCACAATTTTACCCAAGAGAACCGGTTTGGCATCTCTACTTGCATTCATAGGCTAACAAGACTGTTCGCTCTGATAGACCGGAAATGTTTTGCATGTGTCTCAGTGTGGGAGGCACGGTTTGATGCCCAGATACAACTGAGGATTCAGTCAAAATGAGGAGAACATTGAGTGCTAGGGGCCATGGGAAAACTGACTGCCAGAAAGGAGTGATGTTTGACAGATAAACAAAGATAATCTCTCTCAAATATACAGAAAAACAAAATCTTACCAGTGTATCGTGTTCTCAGTCTCTCCGTTTGTCACCGTACAAATGATATGAATGATGCCTCACATTGTTTCATGGGAACACAAACCATAAATACCTGACATTTATTGTTGGGGGAAACATCTTTCATGTTTTGTCTATTTAAATGTGCTTAATTTACTACCACAAGCACTGCACAGGGAAATAAACACAACAAGACATGTTACATTGAGATGTGTCGATGCTGACAAAGCATAAACATATGGGAACAATCTGGAGTGATGCATTGCTTTGACAGTTCCCTTCCCCAGTTCCCTTGGGGAAGTCGTGGCCTAATGGTTAGAGAGTCGGACTCATAACCCAAAGGTTGTGGGTTCGAGTCTCGTACCGGCAGGGATTGTAGGTGGGAGGAGTGAATGTACAGCACTCTCTCCCACCTTCAATACTGAGGTGAAAGACTGAGGTGCCCTTGAGCAAGGCACTGAACCCCCAACTGCTCCCCGGGCGCCGCAGCAAAAAAATGGCTGCCCACTGCTCTGGGTGTGTGTTCACTGCTGTGTGTGTGCACTTTGGATGGGTGAATGCAGAGCACTAATTCTGAGTATGGGTCACCATACTTGGCCACATGTCACGTCACTTTAAAGAAAGTTCTGGGGTTAAAAAGTGAAACTGTCAAACAGACTATAATTTCAACTCATGCACTTACACTGATTTGTTATCAGTCTTGTGGCTACACTTTGAAACAGTGAGTATTTGAACATTTATTTCAGAACAATGCTTTGCCCCATCCATGTCCATTAAACGCAATTTTGTTTATTTTTACAAACTGGCAATCAACAAGATGCTTTAATCTTTAATGTAGCCTAATTTACATCTCTGGAGATTCTTCTGGAGATGCTCGCCATCAGAATATAGCAGTTGGCGATTTAACCTGTTTTGCTTTGAATGCCTTTTTACATTCAATAATTTGTTTTATGGTAATGTGCATGTTGCATTATGTATGTTAGCATGTCAAATTCATACAAACTAATGCAATGCATTTTTCAAACACTTGAAAACATCTAAAGAAAATCAAGGCTTTATGCACTCTGAAACATAACATAAAATGAAATATTTTGATGGGGCACAATAAAATGTTGTGAGAGCAGCACTTAACAAAAATGAGTAATTTGTCTTGCAAGACTGTAATATGTACAGGGTTAGACACTGCTGTTTATGTCGTCTGAACTTCTACCATCCAGGAAGCAGCTGAATATAAAGCAGCTCCAGCTCGAGGCCGTCTCGTACTGCACGTCACACACGCCTCATCCCCCTCTGATCAGTGTGTGCGCATTCTGTGTTTCTCTTCCATCCTCTGTCAATATGATTTGTCCTCTGAAATATTCAATGCATCCATCACGCTGTATTCAGAATCAGCCGGAGAACAAGCTGTTTTTAGCCCATAAACACACTTACATAACAAAAGAGGTAAATGGAGCACATAGACACACACACACACACACAGGATGTCTACATGAATTGTTTACTGAATCTGTAATGTGCAGGACAGATGAAAATAAAGGTGCAGTAAAAACAATGGTGCACCTGCTCACACACACACACACATCAGAACAGGATCGGGCTTTAGGCACATACACTGATGTCAGAGCAATGACGTGAGATGAGAGAAGAGATGAAGAGAACAGATGAGAAGTGAAGAGATGAAATTACAAGGGAAAATGAGAAGGGATGAGAAAGGACAAAAAGAAAGGAGAAGAGATGAGAAGATAAATAGACAAGAGAATAGATGAAACTAGTTGAGAAAAGGTGAAGAAGAAGATAAAGACGAAAATAAGCGAGAAAAGAGAAGATAAAAAAATTAGAAGAGATTAAATGAGATGAGAAAAAGGAAACAAGGGGTGACATGAGAAAAATACGAGAAGAGATAAAACGAGATTACATGAGATGAGAAAAGAGGAAAAGAGAAAACAGAAGACATTACATGAGATGAGATGAGAAACAAGACAAGCAAAGACCAGAAGAGAAGATATGAGATGAAAGAGAGAACACAGATGAGAAAAGAACAGGAGAGAAGAGATAGAAGAAGACAAGGAGAGATGAAATGAGAAGAGAAAACAGAAGAGACGAGAAGATAAATAGGTGATTAGAAGAGAGAAAAGATGAAATGACAAAAGAAAAGCAAAAACAAGAAAACAAGAGAAGAGATGATTGGAGAAGAACAAAAAAGAGAAAACAAATAAAGAGACAAGAGGGGAAGAGAAGAGAGGAAGAAATAAGAGATGAGAATATAGTAGAAATGAAGAGAGAAGAAAAGAGCCAAGTCAGGATAGGCAAGACTTGATGTGATGAAAAAGATGAGAAGAGAATAAATGCTTGACTGTAGATGACCCAATCAGCATCATCCCGCTGAACTGTGTGTGTGTGTGTGTGTGTTGTTCTGAATGAGACTGAATGAGTGGGCCACCCACAGCAGCAGAGCAGATTTCTGAATGAACGAGATCTCCCTCCTACCAGCTCCTGACACACTGCCAAACACACACTCACTTCACAAAGCCAGAGCCCACAGCGGCAATCCCCATCCCAGACACACGCATGCCACTTCCCATCAAAACACTCCTGTCTTCCTCTCCGTCAGTCCCTGTCTCACACGGCTCTCCGCTGTGACTCAGCACTCGGCAGACGCTTTACAGATGAAGTCAAATCAGCGTGACCAGAACCTCACAGCCAGCCATAAGAGACGCATGTGTGCACGGGAGAGCGATGCTTTCAGCTTCCCATGCCTCATGTTCAATATGCTTCAAGGATTAAATTGCTTTTTTGGCACAACAGCAGCTGCATGATCAAATGAAAGACGAGCTAACGAGATCTCCCAAGAGCATTCTGGGCGTGCGGATCAAAAGCAAAGTACCATCGCTCTTCAGTGATCGACTATTATCATAATATCACAATCAGACTCGAGAGCTTCCACTTTACATGATAAGAGAAGGTCATAATGAGTGGGTTTCTTCTTCACCATGGGCCTTTTGGCATTGAAACCTCAGAGGCGCTCTTCTGCTTTTTTACATAAAATTACCATGGTAACAACCAAAATATACTACAAAATTCCAACCCACTAAACTTCAACTAAAATGTAATTAAAGTGAAGCCAAAGTTATATAGTGAAGAGTTCATTGCACTTACCATGTTAAATCTAATTAATGATGATGATAAATAGGTGATTTTTGTAATGGAATTAATTATGCATTTATATAGCACTTTATTGTGTATTGCTGTACACCCAAAGCGCTTTACAATCATATGGGGAGGGGGGGGGCACTCCTTTTTTGTAAAGGATCACCTTTCTTGATGTGAAAAACTGAATAATAAGACGAATTCAAGGTTATATCATAAAACAACGCATTCATAAAACCATTCATTTTGAGTTTGTATGCCAAATAAATAACCTTGAATTGCCTGGAGTGCGTGTGTGTGTGTGTGTGTGTGTGTGAGAGAGAGAGAGAATGCGCGTGTGTGTGTGAGAGAGAGAGAGAGAGTGCGTGTGTGTGTGAGA